CCTCATAGACAGGGAACCTACTATCATTATTTTTACCCATGTGTACGAAGTTTCCTTGGATGATAGGCCAAGGCCACACAGCTGGTTACACACTGGGACTGGGATGAGAAGACAGGTCTTGAAGCTTATAATTCCGGGAACTGCCTCTTTATTTCTATTGTTTCCAAACTATTGTGGGAAACATGGGTGTATCGTTAGATTCTGGTAATTGATCAAATTGGTAGGCTTCTATAACTCAAATTAAGGAGATCCATGAAAGTAACAATCACCAAAACAATTCAAAATTAAGCAACAATCTCTATTTTGCATTGTGAAAATCCCCAAAAGTCCCCGGGGATTTTCATTTCCTTACTCTGATCATGTGGAGTTTACATTTAGATTGCATTCTTCATTGGGAATTTGTAATACTGTGTGTATTTTTGTGCGGCTGTTGTATGTTTGAAGACGTGCATTTTAGCACTGGCTTTGCCACCATCTGGCTGCAGGGCCTTAGATAAGTCACTGGACCTCCTTTGTCACATGTGGAGAGTTGACTTCAACTGGCCCTCTAGCACTACAGTTTTATGATTCTATTTCTCCAAATAGATAGCAAGCTTCCTGAGGTGAGAATAGTGCATCCATGTATCCTCTGGACTTGCCACATTGTAGGTATTTAATTAATGTTTGACGATTGCATTGAAAGATTTATTGGCACACTTAGCTTGAATGGAGTTATAGAAAATCATTACTGACCGCCTTATTAACAACTAACTGTCTATAATCCGCATATGTAATTTTCCTGTACATAAAAAAAAAATTTCTGCTTCTGGTGAAGATGAAGTATCACCCCTTAACGTCAGTTCTTTTTCATGTTAATACATTAGCAACTGATATCTTGTTTGTACTCCAACTGACAAAATAATGTAGAGAAAGCATATAAGTATGAAAAGGGGTTAGTTAGGTAACATTGTATAGGGCATCTTCAAAACAACAGTTCTGGTATTTCAAATGTCAAGCTAATTATCAGTAATGTTTAAATGCTACGATAGACCATTTTTGCAAATGCTGAAATTTTCCAGCAGGTAGGGACGTTATAAAAATGTCACGTTTTGCTACTATTCTGTTACATGTCACCAGAATAGAAAAATCTGGAAAAAAAAAAAGTTATACCAATAGACAATAAAGAGAAACCATTATTTGTTTTGCATATGATTGTAAAATTAATTGGTATGGTGATACAATTTAGAGTATTGTTTACTTAGAAGGAAGAATAGAGAGGATTTAATATAATGCAATCTGCTGAAGTGAAAATAATGCTTATTATAGATAAACTATGATGCCTTTTAAATATAGGTTTTTAGTAATGCATATTCAGATATATCTTTCCAGGCCCATTTGCTATAAAGCAAATTTAAGTATCAGCTTTATACCCTTTGGTAACCCCATATTACACATACAGTTTTAGAGAAAATGAAACTTTAATATGATTCCACATAAAATGGTGAGCCATGCCAATAATTCATATGCACTTCATATGCAAATAGTTTTATCTTATCCATCAATTATCATGTAAACATGGTATCACATGGCAAATTTCTCTGTAATACAGTACAGTACCTGTATATAATTATGGGTACATTTTGCCAATGCAACTGTTACACAGAATTGTAATTAATTCCTCTGAAGATTACTGGGAGAGTTTTGGATACTGATGCTGTTTTTGGACATTTATTACTGCTCTTTAGTTGGCTTTTTGCTGTGCCTCAGAGACAGATGTAAAATTAGTGTCTATTTTGAGCCAGCAAACAGTACATCTTTCCTCTTGTTTATTGAATTGCAGAAAGGAATTCTTTGGGCTCCCACTTCTTTGTGGTTTTGAAGTAACTGTCTGTTTTTCTGCCAGCCATGTAGCTCCAATACATGTATAAAATTTTGCTGAGACTCATGCAAAGGGTGGCTTATTTGACCTAATATAAGGACAGAATAGAACTTTGCTACGTTATGTAAGCGGTTCAGTGCTTTTGAATGCTGAACAAAAATATGTGTCGTAAGTTCAAAAATAGACAGTAGACTAATATATTCTGCCCAGTGACCCTCATTTAAAACCAGTATACATTAGTTATTTTACGAAATCGAATCTCTTTTTGCAGAGACAAAGCTATATTATTAAGATCTCTTAATGCCCGTGGTGATGATGGTAGGCAAAGGATGAAAATGGGAACAAATGGGAAAATGAGTTTATTTTATTTCACAATGTAAATGGGGGTAAACCCATCCCCTACTGGCCATTCTATAGGAAGAATATTTTGTGGTGAAAATTTCTCCAATAATTACACAAGGCAAATCCACTGACTAGACTTGAGAGAAAAATTTAAAGGAAAATCCTGAGGATTTAGAAATGGGGAGGAGCAGGTGAGGAGCAGGAAGCGCGATGTCCATATCAATGGATTTAATTCTGATTGTCCGAAGGTCAGCCAGAAAGAACAGGATGAAAGGATCTACTCTGAATTCAGATATAAAAACTAACTTTGTTATGAATTGTTTTACCTGGATTTAAAAAAAGGGGGGGGAGTGTGGGGGTGGGATACCAACACAATGGCTATGGGAATGGATATCCTAGTTAAAACAGCTCTGGAAAAGATGGCATACTGCTTCTGTAAGTGAACTTGACAGCAGTTATTTATTTAGTTTAAAAGTATTTACTACTATTTGTGAGCGAGAACCCTAAAGGTTGTGAAGTATTGTTGGCCTGTGAAGGTGATGGATGCTGTAGTCCTGACCCTATATGGTGAGACATGACTTCATTGCTTGTTTAGATTGTTCTGATATTTGGGACTCCTCAAGGGCTGTTCATAAATCATTTATCTCTCTCTCTCTCTCTCTCTTTTTTTTTCCACAAGAAAATATTTCAATTGTATTGCTGCAGGAACACTCACGTGTCACACGGGATATTGTGGTCCATGCAGAAAAAGACCTTAAAAGGCATGGTTTTTTTTTTTTCCAGGATAAAGGCCTTTTAATGCCTGTCCAGCCTTAGATAATTTTATTCACTCCTTCTGGACCTTTCTTTATTCCTCCTGTGCCCAGAGATCAGTTTTTAGGAGGTGGGTTGAAAGCTTCCCAGGCCTTAGGAGCTTTTGTTGTAGCCCCCCCCCCACCACCACTCTCACCACCCCCCAACCCCCGCCCCAAACTCAGCGTTCAGAAAATTTGTAAAGAATCTTCTGCTTGTTGCTAAGAAATGGTTAAATCTCAGGCACCAGGGGGAAAAAAAAAGCACATTATTGATTGTACTAAGGTATATCTGGACCACACAGCTAGAGCAGAGATGTTAGAATATCTCTCTTTTTGTAGATCTGAGGGCATTACCCAGCCTGAACTTGCCTAAGCCCTTGTGGTCACACCTCTTGAAAAGGTTTTGTTTCCCCCGTCAATTGGTATTCAAACCAGGTCAGCAGATTCTGTTTGCCCGGCTCCGCTGCCGTTTTCATTTTAATTTGCACCTGTTGTGCAGTTGTTCCGAAGGCAAGTGCAGACCCGCGGATTATACAAAGATCATATTATGAGCAGATATGCACGGTGTAATCTTTTTGTCCCCAGCCTCACATGACAAAAAAAATCTCTCTCTTTTTGTTCCTTTTTTACTCCCTGGGAACCTGTCAAAGCAAACAGATATGACTGACTAAAATTTGTAACTAGACATGTTTCCAGAATTCTCCAAAAGCATTATGAACCTGACACACAATCCTTTTCATTTTTTTCCTCCTTTTCTGCCACTTTTGTATAATCCGATAGCTGGCAAGAGCCACTTGAGATAGCTCAGTTGATAACTTAGCGGAGGATTGCTTTATTAGGCGCAGAGAAATCAAAATGAACCTGAAAATTGTTTGCGCTTTTTTTTTTTTCCATGGGCTTTTTTTTTCCCCCTTTCTCTCTCTCCCTCTTGTTCCCATGATGTCATGGTTCTAACTTGTTTTTTTGTGTGTGTTTCTGGAGAGTTGGGTTAACAGTTCTTGGCAATCCTGTGTGTGCGTAACGGCTGGTGTGTTTCTCTAGCTGAGCTAATGCCCCGTGTTTATTACTCTAATCTTTCTTGTCTGGTGGTAAAGTGGACAATTTATGTACTAGCATGTAGGCCGAGAGCCTGTGAGGGCTGACTAATTCAGAAACAGCCACCTTCAATTGAGTTCACAGACCTTATTTACAGGCTGTCTATTTTAAGAAAAGCTACTGAGCATTGCTGGGACTGAGGACTGCAAAAGCAGCCCGCCGGTTCTTGTGAGTTATTTTAACATTTGTGTTGGTCTTGCCTGTGTCACTTTGAAATCTCCTGTAATTATGGCACTATGAAGACATCTCAATAGTAGTATTAATGGCCCAGAAGATATGGCTTTTCCTCATTTTCTGCTTAAAAGATTGGGATATAAATGGCCTTAGCACATGACGGTTGACGTAGAAGCAACAGTGAACATTTCAGATTGAGCAGGTTTGTGTATGTGTTTGTGTATTGACTAAATAGATGGACATTGTGTGTGTGTGTGTGTGTGCGTGTGTCTATGGTTTCTAGGAATAAAACCACAGCTAATATAGTGAAGTCATGTCGTATTTATAGTACATTTTATAGCACACACTCCATGTCACTAAGCTAATAAAATTGTCAATTGCAGATCTGTTTAATAAGTTTGTGTGGAGTATCGAAAGTACATACTGCCATGTGTCTCTTTGCATATGCAGTATAGATGTATTTTTGAGGATTTGTGCTACTGTTGCTTTTTAAAATTTCCCATCTTTCTAGCAAAAAAAAAACAACCAACCATTTAAAATCAGAAGGAGTATGCAGCGATAATTGAATAAGAATAAAAATGCTAAAACATGAAAGATATTAATTATATTTTCCTGACATGGCTGAGTAATTAAGTTATGAAAATATTAATTATTTTCCATTTAACTAAACAATTAGGGGTGACCGATATTTTTCAAGAAAGTGTTTAGAGAGTGTGTGTTCTGTGCTTTCTCTTCAGTGGTGAACTATGACAATGTAGTGGACACGGGTTCAGAAACGGATGAGGAGGACAAGCTTCAGCTTGCTGAGGAGGACGGGACTGCTAACCCCCTGGACCAGGAGAGGAGTCCAGCTAGCGTGCCCAACCGTGAGTCCTCCCCACACGTGAGCCAAGCTCTATTGCCAAGAGAAGAAGAGGAAGATGACCTAAGGGAGGGTGGAGTGGAGCATACTTGGCACAGCAACGACATTCTGCAAGCCTCTGTAGATGGTCCAGGTAAGCGTCTACAACCCCTCGGGCCCTGCCTGTGCCATCTTAACCTAATCTTCACTACCCAGTGCAATGTCCACGACCAAATAATTAAAATATTTCTTTGCGGAATAGAGATACCAAAGCCGGTGGCAGATGATGAGGTGATGGTAGTGTTATCACATTATAGCCCTAACATCTTAGGGGGAGATGACGTTTCAGTTTGGGTGCAAGTTGCACATGAACTACATTTTAAACCCACAATGGGAAGTCTTTGTACCCTGTTTACAGTGTGCAGTTTATATGACGTGAGCAAGCTCCAGGCTTTCAGGACAGAAAATGGAAGCAAACGTAAAAACTCACAACTAACATCTATTTGAAAGTTTCGTGTGGAAGTTCTAGAACAATACAGACCACGTAACTGTCAATTGAATGTAATTTCAAGGTCTGTCTGACACCTTCTACTGTAATTCAACCATCTAATCATTCCCCTTTGTTAAGTGTGAATGTGATTTCACACTTTCACCTGGTCAGGTAGCTTTCTTATTATTTAACAGTTAGGTACTTGATAATGATTCCTGCTATTTGGTGGGAATCTCTGGAGAAGTAAAACCGATCCAAGGCCAACTATCACAAAAATGAGGTAAATTATGTTCAAACCAAAACTTCAGATGCCACTCAGCATATGGAAATGTCTTGGTCTAAAATTCACTTAGGATGAAGCATCACTAAGGTATGATGGAATGATAAACAGAATCAGAGAGAATGAATCCTATTCCCATAAACTACCTCTGCTCCTCTCTACTTGGTGAGGTGGCTTGCAAAAAAAGATTTTTTTAATGACTCTTCCAGTTCAAACCATAGTGTCTCCTTAAATCTGTATTCCCAAGACCCAATGACAGCTGTCGTGATTTATCCCACTTTGTTATTTTTTTCTCTGACGATATAAATAACAATAGCATTTTTATAAATAGGTGAAGTGGGTGGGAAAGGAAGTAAGTAAGCGCAAGAGTCTACCTATATGCCATTGTGATGTCGCAGACTATAAAGCATCGAACCCAGGCAGGGTAATTGTTCGGCATACTGGAAGGAGGATAATAAAAGCACTTCCACTCCTAAAGAAAATTCAATGTGAAAAAAAAAAATAGAAAAGAAAAAAAAGACCGATGGCAGTTTGAGTGTAATGTATTTGTTTTTCGTTTTCCTAAATTACCATGCCAAGTTTTGTATTCTTTCTGTTTCCAATTTTGCTTTCGGTGAAGGTTTCTCGGATCTCAGCAATCCCACACATAAACATTTATCGTTATATCCATTAAGACTTAAGGTTTTAGATTTTCAACTATGAGGGAGAACTCAGCCAAAGATGCTTGAAAGATAAATACGTTTAATTAGGGGCAGAGGATGATCATTAAAGGAAGTCTGACTGCTGCAGAAGTCATTAACAATCTTAAATGAAATTTTTATTTTTATGATAGCCATTTACATGTATAATAAGAGCCAATGATTCTTGGGAGCAGTGTGACAGAAACAGAGTGTGGCGAGAACTCATGTAAGACATACTATTTAAATGAGCTGGTGTTAGCTATTCATATTTGTTAATGAACTAGATATGCAGGGCTATAAGAATGAATGTTCTGATGCTTTAAATTTTAATATCTAGAAATCAAGGGTAAGGACCAATTACTAGAATTTCCACCCTTAAAGGAATAATTAATAACGATATAACAAATGTACGGCTCCAAACTTCTAAAAAAAAAAGTTTCATTTTAAAAAATTAAGATCAATAATTGAAAAACAGCCAAAACAGCAATGTCAAGCTGTGGTAGTTTGTGATCATGGCAGCTTTTTGTGCTGGTCATGGATCATAATTTTAAATGTTTTAATATACAATAATCCATATGAGTGCATTACAGACCCTGTTATCACCTGTAGTTAATGTTGCCTGTGATACAAATGAACAGGCTGTTCTTTGCTCTTACCTTTATGGTAAATAAACTAGCATTCTGGAGTCACAATAATTAAATAAAATGTAAATCCCTAATCTCATTTGGCTATTTGGACCAAGAAAGTTACCCGGCTATTACCTGTCTAGTTCTAATGATTAGTAATGATTTATTGTTCTTTTTTTTTTATTGTTCCAAAAGTGCTCTGATGTGGTGCCTTGATGTCTAATGAAAAGAAATTGGTCTTAAAAAGCTACTCATTGTTTATCCTAACTCTTAGATAACACATTTTTCTTCTGATAAAATATTTTTCTTATTTATTGTTCAAAACACACAATATAGACAATAATTCTAATTCTGGTGCTGTTTTATTTAGTAGTGTTTTATCCCTGGTGCCTGGCTGTCTACCATCATACCTCAGCACATAGCTTGACTCTGAGATAAGCCCCCTCTCCTTTGCTCTTTCTCGCAGGCATTCTGTAGTTTGTCTGCAGGATGCAGGTTTTCAACTGAAGAGCCCAGTGGAGCTCTTACTGTGCCTTTCCGGTTCCAGCACAATCAAAGTTTTGTGTTTAGAATTGTCCTTGACATTCTTTCGTCCCACAATGGGGTGGACACAGTGTGCTGGAAACCATGACATCATTATCATTGACACAGACTTAAATAAATCACCTGCATCTTGGCCTCTTTCTGCTTATTCAAGGATTCTTCATCTTAAGGAAGAAAGTGCTCTTTATTTTTACAAACCCTCATCCCAAGGGTGACTGGAAAATGCAAACTTTTACAAGGGTTTTAAAAACAAATATACTATGTGGTTTTAGACACAGTATGCTGAGTCAGAGGTGTCTTGGAAAATGTTTAAGGTTAGGCAAGAGGCAGAACGACAGCCAGGATTGCCTTTAATTCAGAGGAGATATTCTTAACCTATGGATTGTCATGTCCTTCTGAATATGGATTTGCAGGAAACTTAATTAAATAGGCATATACATAGTCTTTCACATACAAACCTGAAAAGGATTAGTGATTCATTTTAATAAACTGAGCCTAAAATTCAAAAAAGGAAAGGTTGGTGCTCAGTAAATTGAAGCAAAGTACGTTCTAGGCAAAAGTGACACCATCTCGGTTGCATAATCTTTGGTGAAAGAGGGATACAGCTAAGGTATTACTACAGAATGCAATGCACACAGAGAACCAACTACACATTATGTATACCCAGCATTTAATAATTTGGGAAGCAACCACTTACTGTAACTTCTCTTTACTTTTTCATAAGAAAAATGACAATGAGGAAGGAAGTACAGCAGAAATCTTGAACATTACCACTATTATGCAAAAAAAAAAAAAAATGCTGTTAACTGTTTTCCCCTCAGTGACTTGATCTCTCAGATGGAAAACTTATGATTCTTCTGACTCTTGGCTACCAGAAATCACATGAGATGAGCGAGGAAGAAAGACACAAAAGCTATATTTATAGCCAGTACTGAACTTCTCAGAAATACCTTAATTTAATTCCTTCCAGAGACTGATAAAAATATCAGATGAAGGAGCCTTTCAACCGATCGATTATTACAATTGACAATACAATATTGCTATATATTGAACTTCTAAATGTTTTATGAAAAATGTCCCTGTGAAAATATTCCTTAAATAAGAGGGAAGTCCAGGGCCAGAAGCAAATTTAAAGTGGTTGTACAGTTTAAACAAATACCATTCAAATCATCTGACTGTTATGGGTAGTAGCATTAAATTAGCATCTATTTATATCTGTGTATTTTGCCTTAAAAGGCCCAGGCTTTTTTAGTTCTGATAACATAAACAGATAGGCTGCAGGAGACTACTTGTAAATCATATATTTTAATTTTGCTTCTGCCATTTGCTAGAACCTGTTTTTCTACCAGATAATTATGACTTAGAATGTGATAAGCAAAGAATGGTCAGGATAAATTTGGGAATTTACAGAGTCCTATTTATAAAGTTTCTCTCGTTTTAAGCAAAAGGATGATCAGAGAGATATTTATCCTGGATCATGTTGGTTCTCATTAGTACTGTTATTGTAAAAATACAATTTTTTAAAGTCCGTGTTTAATTTATTTCCTCGAAGCATTTTTAACTGTCAGCTGCGCTCTGCCCTCTCACATGCTCTGTAATTTGGGAGGCAGAAAATTCAAGAGCTCTCCTGTTTTTTAAACTCTCCCTAATTTAAAATATTGCAGTTCTGGAAAATAACCTTGTATCACCTATGAAGCTTCAAACTTAGTGTTACATATTTTCGTCTCCACCACCACCTTGAGCTCTTGTTTACATCTATATGTTTTTCTTCAGAAAATGGCTACAGTTATATGCTGGAGCATAAATGATAAGGAAGAAAGAGATTTATGGAGTGGTAGGGAAAGGCCTAAGGAAGGTATGTATTAGACATTTATATAAAACAGTGAAACAGGTGTTTTCAAATACCTCTGGGATGCTTGTTTTATAAACTGGGAATTTCAGGTTTGGATATGTCAAATTACGTTTTAAAAAGATACGCCTGCAGAGATTAGCCCCATCGTAGCTTCTCCAAGGGGGGAAAAAAACATGAAATTCTCGCTGACCACTAATCATCCAGAGTTACCAAAAGCACCTGCATCTTCCTAAGTACAAATTAGGACTTTGACTTGCTTTTGTTGCTTTTGACTCGTATTGAAAAAATAATATCTTTCCCCCTGTTTGTCACTAGAACTGCCACCAGAAGAAAAGCCCTCCGTTTGTCCCAAATAAGCACCTCTGTTTTTCACAGCTTGCAGTAATGCTTAAAGTAAATAAGTTCTTGTGCAGCTAGCACTATTGGATTCATTCAATTGCCTGAACAAAGCTATTGTTTAGAGGTTTACAACAAGCCTTTTCTCTGTTTCCTTTAAAAGAATCTTCCTTGTTCCTGTGGTTGGCATGCTTAGTATAGTAAGCCTTTCTACAGTTTTCAAATGCTAAAGATAATTTTCCCCCACAGAAGAAATGAAGGAAGACTATGACACTATGGGGCCGGAAGCCACGATCCAGACCACAGTTAACAATGGTACAGGTAAGTTGTGCTTACCACACCGAGATCGTACTTGTCCTGTGTCATGTGGACTTTAGTGAGTCAGGAAGAGAAACACGGGCCCATCCATTTGTAGCTCCATGACGTAACGATTAAGTCAGACATTACAATTCTCCTGTTTTTGTCTCAAATCGGAGTTCTCTTTATTTTATTTTACTTTACTTTATTTTATTTTTTCTCAGCATATAATATATCTTTCATTCTTAAACCCCTGATTGGCCTGTGAAAGTTGAGAAAACTGAACTGGATACGTAAATTTTTTCAGCGCATGAGTTGGGCAAATTTCTGGTAGTAATTTTTATTTTAAAAGACTGCATAAATAATCTCAAAATTAGAATGTAATAGGCCTCTTCTGGCTACCACTTGATAGCAGTCATTGGGAATTCAAGTGATATGCTGTAATTTAGATTGTAAATGTTTTTTCAGGAAGAGAAACCAAATTTCCGTGAACATTCCTCACAAAAATTGATCATCTGAGTTCCTTTGTATTCTTTCTTCACTTTTAATTCTTGGTACCCTCTGCCTCCTCTAAATTATGTTTTCCAGGCAGAAGCTTTAGAGAGAATTGACAATTTCACTTCTTTTTAATGAAGCTAAAAAAGTGACAGTAGGAAAGTGGTACTGCTAATGCTACAGAATGGATCTCAGGACAGTTGCGACGTTCTCGGCTCCGTCCCCAAAACTGAACAGTGTCTTCCCTCACATTCTCATGTCACCAGTGCAAATGTACATTGACACACTATGTTTATCTCTCTTTTCCTGGATAAGGCTAATTATTTTTGGTGTTATAAACAATCCTCCACACGGCCATTACAAATATTAACCTAGGGCCCAGGGTAAGGTTATCTTCCAAAACAAAACAAAACAAAACCAAAAACCACATAGCTATATCCATTCAACTCACCAATGAGAAAAAAAGTCACGGTTTTATGAAGCTTTAGAAGTTTGAATAATTCAGATGATAGTCCTATCTCCCTTGTGTTGATACACATCATGATAAACTGCTCATGCTGTGCTTCTATTTAGAATGTTCTTATTAATAACTTACAAGGCACGAACTCACTTTCTTAGGTGTAAAATAAGAGAAATAATGAACAACTCTTGTAATTTTTCTTTCATTTGAGTATGTCAATTTAAGGTACAAAAATGAAACTGTGCAATATGGGATTAGGGAAAAAGTATAGAATTAGGAAAGATTATCAATGCTAGTTTTCAGGTATAGCTCTGGCAGTAACTAGATCGTGGCCTTGGGCATGTCAGTTACCCTCTTTGGAACTCAGTTTCCCCACCTGAAAAATAAATAGGTCACACTAATTGCTTCTTAAGAATACGTCCAGGTTTAATAGTCTATGTTGTAGGGGTACCATCACCATATAATGTAGAAACAAAACAAAATAACTTCATATAAAAAGATAATAATAAAGAGGTAGCATAAATTCGATACTTTCTATAATGTCCCAACTCATGGGATCAAAAATGGCTTCATGTTTTTTTTAAGATAAATATTAAATTTCAACTTCAAACATAAATAAATCCTAATTCTTATTAACTTTATAGGCATGTAAAGTGTCACAAAAGTAAATGTATCCTACAAGGTGACAATTTACTAGCTGTTTTTTACACTTGAAGTCTAAAATGAGATGAATAAAAATTACTCCTGTTCAAAAGATTTAAAAATAATTCTGAATGTACTTTCAGCTGGCTTTAAGGTCTCTTTTTCTGCTACTACTTACTATTGCTTATAGTTCAAGTGCATTCAGTCAATAAGTAAATGAATAAGTATTCATTGAGAATGTTCTATATACACCATTGGTGTACTTGTGGTGCAAGATGGGCCAGGAAGTTTAAGACATGGTTATTATTTAATTTGGACGATGAGACTAACACGCAAGAAAAAAACAAAGAACAGTAAGAAAAATATGTGGTAAATACACAACAAATGGTAAGAACTATAATTACTTCAAATTACAAAAGTGGGAGAGATCTTATGGGGTGAGTATTCAGGAAAAGCTCAACAGAGGTGAAATGTGAACTGAGTATATTTTCAGTGGTCATAAAGAAGCGAGGAAGGGCTTTCTAGCAGAAGAATGTGTGAGCCAACGAAGGAAATTGTGAAATCTATTCAGAGGATAGTGAGAAAGGATTTGCCTGAATCAGAGGGTCCTAGGAGGTAATTCATGGGAAATGAAGCTGGACATTTAAGTTGAAGCCGACTGATGGAGGATGGGAAGCACCAGACCAAAGAGTTTGTGTCATGTTATACTACTGTGATTTCTGTGGGGGAAAACCAGACTTTGAGAGACCAACTGGAAGTCATTGTAGTTACTCAGGTGTGAAGTGATAAAAACTTGTCCTAGGGTGGTGACAGTGGTGAAATTAGCAACATGATTTCTTAACAATCAGTTGAATCTCTGAGTGATGGAATCAGAATGGCTTCAAGGTTACACATCTGCATGTTTAGAACATGGAAGTACTTACTATTTCTAGATAAAAAGAAGGAGGATCCAATTCTGGGAAGACCTTGAGCTAGTCTTTAGACAGAAGTATTTTCACATAAAAGTTATATATGAATGTGAATATGAGAATGTCCACTGGAAATGAGGAATTGAAACACAGGAAGTCAGGGCTGAAGACATAGATTTGAGAGTGATGCAAATATATTCCGATAGTATTTAACATCATGGGACCATGACATTAACCATTGAGAGTGTATTTACAGAAACAAGTAGAAAGCTGAGGCCAGGGCCCCTGGTGGGTGGGGAGAAAAATCAAATTCATTGAAAGAAAAAGATTAAGATAGAAAAAAATTAAACAACCAGAAGGCAAAGAAGGAAAGTTTCAAAAAGAAGAGAATGGTCAATTCAATCAAAGATTCAAATAACTATAATTGAAAGAGTGCTGAACAAATACATTGGACTTGGTAACTAGGAATTAATTGTGACCCTCAGTTTATAACTCTGCCCTTTTAGAGAATAAATACGTATTTCTTTATAACTGCAAGTTGCTACTTCTTATCCCCAGAATCTTTTCAGTTGCTACATACGTGGGGAATTGAAATAAGACATATTTTCTGATTGAAATTGCTTATTAATGGACCATCTCTTTGTCTCCACCCAAGTCCTAAAAGATCCAGCTACTGGCGGACCTTCTCTAGCCATCCCAGCCTACAATGATATCTTCTTCCAATGAATGCTTACTGAACAAAAAGCCTAACCTTGCCATAAATTTTGTAGTGTGTTGTTAATTAATGTCCTGTCTTTTCTATATTAGATTGCAAACTCTGAGAGCATGGATTGTTTCTTAGGCTACCATATTGCCTGTAAGAGCACCTAAATTTTGTTTTAACTTTACCCTTCGATCTTATTTTTTAATTTTTAAAAACATTATTGGAGTTATTTTTTTGTTGTTGTACAAGGTTATATTAGTTTCAAGTGTACAATATAGTGATTTAACAATTCTATACATTACTCAGTGCTCATCAAAATAAGTACACGCTTAATCCCCATCACCTATTTCACCCATCCTCCCACCTACCTCCTCTCTGGTAACCAGCAGTGTGTTCTCTACATTTAGGAGTACCTTAAAATTAATAAGCTCTCAATATATTTTAATGAATAAATATGGAATTAACTTAATATCAGATACCATTTCTCTTTTCTAATCAAAGCAGAACCAATAGACACTGAAATAGATAAATCCTAAACAGGTTAAGCAGATTTTCTGACAGAATGTATTGTTATTAATGGGAATAAGTTGTGAAGGAAAGACAAAGACAATGTCTCTAATACTTCTCTCTGAATATTCAACACACAGATTTCATTCCTAACCAAAAGTAAGGAAAGACCTCTGAATTTCCTTCTCAGCTCACACATCTATTAAATAGCAAAAATTAACTTCATCTAGATGGATAGAATAGTCCTTTAGAATCTAAAAGTATCTTCTTCCTAGTATACTCTGCTGAGTTTAAAGCTGCAAGAAGCAATGGGAAGAGTTTCGTTGAATTGAATCACAGAATTCTAAAATTGAAAGTTACACTACAGAACAATTTCTTAATTGTATTTTGATAGTTGAGGAAACAGTAGTAAAAAATGCCACATAGCTAACTGTTGGCAGATTTGGAAATAAAATCTTAATTACCTGACATAACTTTCACCTCAGAAGGTTTTTCACCACTCTGAGGAGCTGTCCTGCGAGAAACTATGGTATCATCTTTGACTCTTACATACTTTATCTAATTAGTCATCAACTACTATCAATTCTACTATCGCAGATAGCATATATCACTTTTATTTCTCCCCATCATTTTTTTTCCACTATCCTGATTTAAATCCTCATCTTTCATTTGCGCTATTATGATACCTTGTAACTGACTCCATTTCAATCCCTAATTTCTTTAATTCACTCTCCACACTAACAAAGTTATTTAGAAGTTGTTTTCCTGGCACTTGGGGGCAGATGGATAATTGTAATTCATCTCCCACACCACTTCACACTCAACGTCCTATGGTTCTCCACTGCTTTCCGAATGAGTTGGCATCGGAGTTGAGTTGGCATCCTCATGATCTAGCGCCATCTTCCTTTACTACCACTTCCTAGTGTATACCTCAACTCTGAATGACTGATTATCATTTTATACTCCTTTGCCTTTGCTTATGATTTTCCATCAACTCAGAAAGTCACTAATTCTTTTTAGTCTGACAGCATCATACACATTCTTAAGAGCCATCTCCACCAGGAAGTCATCTTACAGTCTCCCGCTCAAGATTGATTACTCATTCCTTTGAGGGTCTTCTTATAGAATGTATAAATTTTCTCGCATATTATACTTAGTCACCTGCAGGTATGTTTCTCCCTACTAGATTGTAAGCTACTTGAGGACAGAAATGGTATGGGGATTTGGTCACTTTATCGCTATAGATCGTAGAATGGCCTAAGTCCCAAAGAGTTTTTAAAGAAATTGAGGGAGTGAATGAGAGACAAAC